CCTTTCCATCTCCGGCGATGATGGTGAAATCCATCCTGTGGCTTTCCAGAGTCGCTCTCTGGGGCCATCAGAGCTCAACTATGACACACATGATAAGGAATTACTCGCTATCTTCGATGCGTTTACTCACTGGCGTCAATATCTTGAAGGCGCCCCGATTCCGGTCGATGTGGTCACTGATCACAAGAACCTTGAGTATTTCTCTACTACCAAGGTTCTAACTCGGCGCCAGGTCCGCTGGTCCGAGTATCTTTGTCGTTTCAACATGACAATCCGATTCCGCCCAGGTAAACTTGGGGGTAAGCCTGATGCATTAACTAGACGATGGGACGTCTACCCAAAAGAGGGGGATAAGTCCTATGGAAAATTGAATCCGCAAAATTTTCGCTCTATTTTCACGTCTGAACAACTCAACGCCTCTCTCCGCGCTACCTTCCTTGAAGAACCTGTGCTTCGTGCCTCCGTCATTCTGGATGTCAAGAAGCTTCACGACGACATCCGCGCTCACATCAATGACGATCCCGCTGCCGTCTCTGGCCTCTCCGCCGCGAAATCTGGCAACTCATCGCGCTGGAAACTCGATGACACTGGTCTCTTACGCTATGACGATCGAATCTGGGTACCACTCGTCTCCGGTACGTCTCCGGAGTTGCGACTTACTGTACTCCGACACCATCACGACCATATCCTCTCCGGTCACTTTGGCCAAAATCGTACTCTCGCTCTTGTCCGACGCGAATACACTTGGCCAGAACTCAGAACCTTCGTCAAGGACTACTGTGCATCTTGTATCACATGCAAGCGCAACAAGAAGCCAAGGCATCAACCTTACGGTCTGCTAAAGCCTCTCCCCGTTCCTCTCCGTCCTTGGGATTCTATCTCTATGGACTTCATTGAGCAGCTCCCCACATCCGGTGAATTCAATACCATTCTAGTCATCGTTGATCGTGCCTCCAAACAGGTCATTTTGATTCTGTGCGACACTCACATTTCGTCTCCGGAGCTCGCTCGACTTTTCCTCATTCACGTCTTCTCGAAATACGGAGTCCCATCCCATGTCACTTCTGACCGCAGAAAGGAATTCGTGTCCTCTTTCTTCCGTTCCCTTGGAGAACTACTCAGCATGGAACTCCATTACACTTCGGGTTATCATCCTTCTGCTGATGGGCAAACGGAGCGCATGAACCAAACTGTTGAGCAATATATTCGCATCTATTGTTCTTACCAACAGGATGATTGGCACGAGTTACTGCCGATCGCAGAGTTCGCACTCAATAATGCTCCTAATGCTTCTACTGGCATTTCACCCTTCTTCGCGAACAAAGGCTACGATCCCTCTATTACGATTCATCCAGAGCGTGATGTGGCTAATGTTTATGCTAAGGACTACGTCGTCGATCTCCAAGAGCTGCACGAGTTCCTCAAGGAACAGATCAAGTACGCTCAGGAGCAATACAAAGAGACTGCAGACCGGAAACGCATTCCGGATCCGTCTCCGTCTATTGGTGACAAAGTCTCTATCTCGACCAAGTACATCAAGACCAAGCGTCCAACTCCGAAGTTCTCGGAAACGCATTTTGGTCCCTTCGAGATCATCGGAAAGCCTAGTGCTGCGTCCTATCAAGTCCTCTCCCGAAATCCCTTTCTCAAGTTCATCCCGTCTTTCACGTTTCCCAAATCGAAATCCACACACCCAACAAATTCCCTGGTCGCGAAGAGCCACCACCTGCGGCAATTGAAGTCGATGGAGAAGAACACTTCGAAATCAAACAAATCGTTGACTCCAAGATTGATCGCCGTTTCAAGGGTCTGGCTCGACTCTGCTACCTGGTCGAATGGCTTGGTTACGAGAACACTGATGAACAATTCACTTGGGTTGGTGCACCTGACTTGGAAGCTGAAGAGTATATCGAATCCTTCCATCGTCAATACCCCAACAAGCCTAAGTTGGATTAACATCACTCAACTCAATCTCACTCCGTTCCGGATTTTCGAGATAAGGAAATTATAATTCTATTTACATTATACTTCTAATATCGTCTTGTTTTCGATTCCGCCCCGAGGCGTCTCCGACTCCGCTACTCGGCTCTCCCTTTTCCCTTGTCCACCTTCGTCGGGGGCTCCTCGTCCACATCCATCGCGTCATCCTCCTCGACTTCTTTCCCTTCCTCCTCGTACGGCTCGCCCTCTGCATCCACGGACTCCGAGTCCGCCCTGTCCCGAGTCCGCCATCGATGGCCTTCCTCCTGGATGAACGCATCCCAGTGATCGAGGGTTTTCTCGATACCCTGGACGTGTTCGGCCACTTCTTGCGCCGTTGTTGCCGAGTTGACCCCACCGACGTTGTGGCGAATTTCGCGCCCAAGATTCTGCAAACCCATGACCAGCCGGCCGAGTTGCTCGTGGTCTTGGTTTTGGCGTACCAACAGGTCGGCCAGTACCGCGGAAAGCGCCGTGTTGCTGAGCGTCGGAATCGACGACTCCGCAGGCGTCTCCGCAGGTACTTCCTCCTCCTCCTCGACCGCTTTTGGCACCTCTCGGACCTTCGATGGCCCCGCAGCTGTCTTTTTCTTCGCCTTCTCCTTGGTCATTCCGGCCTCCTTCTCATCCTTGCGGAAACGCAGGGGCGGGGTACCGTCTTCGCAGCGAGCTTTGAGCTTGCGGCATTGTTCACACGACATCTTGCCGTGCCAGGTGGTATTGGCTTTTGGCACGCGCCATACGCACGAGACGCCAGCCTTGACGCATTTGAGGCATTTCTCTGCCAAATCGGGTCAGGATTATATTTCAAAATTAATTTTGGCACTTACTTTCGCCTTCTTCATCGACTCCCGCAATTGACCCATCGGGCTGGGCTTCTTCGGCGTTCTCGGGATTCTCGCCTCGAGCCTCGACTTGGCTAATGATCTGGGCTTCGGCGGCCTCGCGATCACCACGTGTAAGTGGGCCTAGACCCTGGCGTAGCCTAGCCTGTACTCGGCCTCGGGCTTGCTCGGCTCGGCGCCTCTGCTTCGCCGCTTTCGCTTCCTCTTTCCGTCTCCGCCTAGTCTCGGCCTGCTCCTGCTCCTCGGCTCGGCGCTGATGCTCACGGTAACCCAGTGCGATCTGCTTGGCCATCTCCTCTTCGTTGTACTGCAGCGGTGCCACGATTGATCCGCGCTCGGATGACGACTCCGATATGCGCTCGTGGTTCGCTGGGTCTTTTGGGTCGTACGCGAGCGACTCCCCATCTTGCGTAGGTGGCACAGGGACTCCATGCCGTGCGCGCTGTCGGAGAACCTCGTTCTCTCTCCGCAGGTCATCCATCTGCCCCCGCATCTCCACCTGTGGGTTTAGACTCCCATCAGGCAGGACGTCAGCCAGGGCCCGCGCTACCTCCTCATCCACCCAATCCCCTACCCTCTCCGTCTCCGATATCGTCGATACCGCTTCGACGTCTTCTGCGAATAGGTTCGGCACGTAGTCGATCTTCTCGCTGTCTTGCGACATGGTGGTGTGGGTAAAAGATGGAGAGATTGATGTCAATCCGGTGACGTGCTTCTTGTCACCCGTTTCCTTTTCCGTCCTCCTTGCTATTATCACGTTCTCACCGGCTTCCTCGGTGATCTCGGCCTTTCCGGCTTTCGACTCAAAATTTTCACAAGTCCAACTCTGACTCCGACTCTCTCTGATTCCGACTCCTGCCTCTACGACCATTGCTCCTGTTTCTTGTGGGCAAGAAACGCAAGAGGGGGATACTGTTATATCCGTGCCGACTCTGGCATCCGATTCCGATATCGACTCCAGTATTTGGTTTTTACGCAATGAAGATTTACTGAGCGTTTCCAATTACCTCGACTTATGATCTATGCAATCATCTATGCCTTGTTCCTCGTATGCAACTCCTCTTCTACTTTACTTGACTTTGTTCTAATCTTGTTACTTACTTTGTTATACCTTATTCCGTTTCCGTTACTTCTCGTACTATAAATACTTTGATGTATTATCACGTACTTCAGTTTGTAAATTAACGTTGCTGGTCTCTATCTCCCAGCGTCGTCTCGACTCCGCTCTTCTCCTCTTGTCTTGTCTTGGTCAACTGGAAGCCCCGGTCACCCAAACATCCTTCTGTGGTGTTCCGCCCCAAGTGCTCTACGACTTTGATTCCGTCTCCGACTTTGACTCCGTCTCCGTCTCCGTCTCCGTCTCCGTCCCTTTGGTCGACACGGCACTTAACAGATTAACATCATTACTAGTAGTATAACGCACAATGTTGCAAATAGCACTGAAAAAGATAAGATAAGCAAGTTGGAGCGATGTAATATATTCGCGAGCCGCCTACCCCCAATATAAACCGCCCTGTAGGTCAAGCGGATGTCAGGAAGCGAGGACTGAGGCATCGACATGCCAGTGGTAGCGTTCATAAATGAGCAGCGGAGTTTCGACTCTGGAGCACGGGTACTGTAAGTACCATTCAGCTTTATCTCAACGAGCAAAAGAACGTGTTACCGAGTTTGGAAAGAGGAGATTTGGCACTTCTGAGAACGGTTGCCCTCACGGTAGAATGAGCGCTCGTACATTTATTTGCTGGGGGTCATGCACAGCTTCACGCGATCATTTTCGAACTCAGCCTGAGTCGAGTCTCCGAGTCTGTGATGGCCCGACTTCTTGATGACATGCGTTGCAGGCCTCTTGAGAGTAGAGCATTTGGTTTAGAAATCTGCACAGTTGCCACTAAGTAGTACCAAGACGATGGGACCACTGGCAGTGAGACGCTATGGGATCATTAGTTTTTTCTATGTCGCCAAATGTGCAGAAATCGTGTCAGTAATACGCCGCCGGCGTTCGTCAACGGTGCATATCATTCTCATGATCCGGAGATGGAACAATGCTGACGGATCGGCGCCGGTTCAGAGAAGCAGCACGAGCGCTGGAAGCAGCATGCGTGACCGAAGGATGCGAAATCATGACAGGCATGGATTAGTGTAGTTTACACGCATTCAGAGCGGTACACGGCCCAATCACCCTCGCCGCTCCAACATCTCCTTAGCCAGGACCTCGTCAGGGTCCCGGCCTTTGACCTCGGGGAGAAGGAGCGTGAACAGCGCGCCGGCCATGCAGCAGCCAAAGAAGACTTGCTTCAGAGTAAGCCTCATGCGACACAGCTGAGAACGGTAAAACTCACTCCAGAGGACCTTATCCGTGCCAATGTCAATGCTCAGCTGGTTGAACGCGAGCGCAGAGATGATCGCGCCGGCCTTGCCCGACGCAGCAGAGATGCCGTGCGCGAAGGCACGGTATTTGGTGGGGAAGACCTCGGCGGGATACATGTACGTTGTTCTAGGAGTAACTTCGAAGTCAGATTTACTGAGTTAAGATCAATAACGTACGTGTTGGCGCCGAAATTGAAGAAAAATTGGAGCAGGGCGAAGCATACGATGAAGGACGCGTGGCTGAGAGAGTGGAACTTCCCCGCCAGGATTGCCACTAGGAGCGTCAATGTCAAGGAATGAGATTTAGCAAGACAAGTTCTTACAGAACAGTCCTGCCATTAGGAAGCCTTGGATCTGGATCCATTTGCGTCCCAGCGTCTCGACGGTTAAAATCGAGACATAGTATCCTTGTGGTGATCAGGGTCGTCGACAACGTGAAGGAATGGCTCACCTGGGACAAAGCCGAGCGCAGTTATGATGATTCCTCCAGTGGAAATCTTGAAAAGCTTCTCCCAGGCCGTCCCAGTCTTTCCATCGAACCCAATCTGTTGAAGGACAACATTTTGATTCAGGTTGATGCCGTAGAATCTAACGGACAGCTGAGCATGGCGAGCCAAAAGCAAGTGTGAACGCACGCAATGTCAAGCAGGAACCAGCAAACACACGTCCCGATGAGGATTTTGGCGTGTCTCCATTCGCTGAAATATACAAGGAACTCTGCAGGCGGCTTCAACAAACATGATAAGGAATAACGAGAAATACCCCGGAAGTGTCCCGGCCGCTTGGCTTCTTCCATATGTACCGCGACCTCCTCAGTCTCCGTCTTTGCGATGGGCCCGCCCGCTTCAGTCTTCTTCGGCTTCTCGTGGTCCGAGCTGGCGTCATCGTTCACCGCCCGGGTCGCCTGCACGTGCTGGTGCCGGCTTTCTTCAAAGCGCGATGATTCGGGAAGGGTTAGCCGTTGGTACAGGGTCGCGAAAGCTGGGACGAGGGATACGCCCACGACTATACGCCACACTACCGACTCGTCAGCTTGGAGTTCTTCAAGAGTGAATGTGCGCGAGGGTACCTCCATCAACCTTGCTGGTCTCGCCTTTTCCGTCCATCACATGCTTGTATGCGGCAAGGACGATAATGGTAACGAGGCCGCCGAAGAAAGAGCCCCAGCCCTGATTGGAGAAGATGTACGCAAGCATAGTTCCTCGTCGGCGGAGGACCGCGCGATCAGATGTAACGGACGCCGACATCGGATAGTCTATCGAGGGTGCTAAGTGTTGGTAATACTGAGTTAAAAGTGCGACGAACCGCCTCCGACACCTATTCCGAGAATGACACGGAAAATGGTCAAGTAGATTATCGCGTTATCGGGGCTTAGGGAGCCTATGAATCACGATCAGCACAGCTCCTAGACCACGCGAAATGACCTGACCGGTAGGGGTAGTCAGACACATAATAGTTGCAAAGATAATTAGCATGAGCTCCTTCCCATCTGTCAACGTTTCAGCCGATTGTCCACAGCAAGGAAAGATAAAGCGTACAAACGGCTTTTCTTCCCAACGAGTCCGCGAGAAACCCTGAATACGGTCCAAATAAGCGAAAGTTCATCACAACGGCGTTGACAGCGCTCACCGAATGCAAATTGCCCGATGACGCTGCCGATGTTGGCCCCTGCCTTGAGGACACCTTGGATGCCAGCTGGTATAGCTTTCCCGCCATACAGACGGTACTGCAACATCGTCGAAACCGGCTACAAGTGAATTGAGAGCCGAATGTCGCAAGACGGACGAGGAACGTACATTGATGACGAAAAGGTCGTATGCTTCAGGTACAACAAGTCAATCGATGCGATATAATCACACAAGCAGAAAAGGATTGACGAACCATCGAGGAAGAATCCAACCTACGCCAGAGTTCAATCCGTGAAATGTAAGCTTCTGCGAAGAAACCACACACCCCTGCGATCCCCAACAGCTTCACTTCCGTCTTCGTTAAGTAAAAGCTAGGACGATTGGCGCCAGCTGGTCCACCGCCTTCGAGGTCGACCTCTTCAAGTCGTGCGCGGCGCGCCTCTGGTGAGTTGTCAACAGCAGCCATCGTCGTCGAAGAGCAGAGATGGCGGGAGTGGAGGGAATGGGGGAAAAGAAGAAGCCGTGGTTATTTACGTAGTCGGGTGGAGCTTTATTTGCGCCAAATCACACGCATCGGTGAAGCGCTTCCCAAGCGCTATTTTTGTCGTAGATGCACGTTGATGTTTGCCCGTTGCCTCGGCTTCTCGCAATCGCGCCCACGGCGTCGACGCCCAGCCACCAAACAATCAGCTGTTTCGACGGCACGGGCCAAAATTGAGCTGACTTTGCGTCGGATCAACGACGCTACAGGAAGACGCCGACCACGCACGTTCGTGATGACACAACGGTTTGGAGACGACCATATGGCGGGCCTTCATGTCGGGCGGAGCTGTTTTTACGCTGAATATCTGTACGTATATAGCACGCGCGCGAAACGGTGCCTCGCGCGAGCCTCCCAGATGCGTGTTAATGGAACAGAGTTCACCCGTGCGCTAAGTAGTGTGGGTTCAGCGCAGTCATGAACAGCGGACAGGTGGCACATTACCCAAGATATAGACGGATGGGGACGTCCGCGCCATAGTATGGTATGTCGGCCCGGGGACGATGTACCTTGTCCTTGACGGCTTCTCAGCTTCCCTGATTCATGACAGAACGCAGAAAAGTGAAAAGGGCAGAAGTAAGATTGATGTCACAGTGTCGTGTCGTCGGGCAACGCGCCACTGATGTCGATCGTTGATTGATGGCATTAGCAATACTTATACTTACTTATTTAATATTCACTTACACATATGTGAATTTCCTGGCCAAACCTGTGCCTTTATCCAGGAGAGAAGTAAGTAAATTGGTCACATTTATAATCCATCCACTAGTTTCCAGCGGCTATGTAACTTAATGTAAGCTTGGAGCTGCTAAAGGATAGCGTGATCCCCACATTTCCTTGATGTCAAAAGCTACCATTTACTAGTACCTGCCAGTACAGGCTGATTTCTCATTCAAAGAATCTACGGATAAATCGAGGATTTGGGCCAATTTCATGCCGGTGTCCCAGTGCTTCCCTTGATCCCGCCACCTTTCTGAGGGGCAAACTTAAACGTACTGTTACAAATCAGCCCAGTCAATTAGTGCATGCGGCACAGAATGAAATAAGTGAGGAGCGAGTATTAGAAATACACATTATTAAGGCAAATCATCATTCCAAAGTTAGACGTGCAGCTTGGTTAATTCTCCGGATCCTCGAGCAACTTGACGACTTCCTGCTCCACGTCATCGACAGAGGTTGTCCACGCTAGGTAAAATTGATCAGTTGAAAGCCACCCAATGTTAGACAATGCTCCCTACCCCATCTCCAATTATCCTCCACCTGTTTATAAATCTGTTGTAAAATCTCCCAACCGGCAGGGTCGATGCCAACACCAGCATGCCCGAAGTCCGCCGCGAAGTCGACGTGCTTGCCAGTGCCGTCGAGCTCGAACGAGAAGTAGCGCCCCGCGAGCCGCGAGACACGCCCCACGTGCTGCGCCGCGGGACGCCGGACTTGGTCGAATATGCGGAGCGCACGGGGAAGTTTCTCGACGGTTGTTGACGGGTGTCCAAGAATGCGGGCGAGGATGTAAGCGTCTTCGACGGCTTGTCCGGCTCCCGATCTGCAGAGAAATCAGGCCTCAGCAGCAACAGAATTCGAAGGCCCGAAACTCACCCTTGATGCGGCGTCATCGCATGTGCCGCGTCGCCAATGAGCGCGACACGCCCTGACTCAGACACGAACGAGTGCATAGGCTTCACCGTGTGGATCGCCCACGCCAAGGGATTCTCTGCGCACTGACGTCGTCGTAAATAAGTAAGGTGAACCACAGCCTGTCGGAGACCCACATTAACGAGGGCCTGCACCTCGGGCTCCCAATTCGCAAATATATGGGTAAAGTGCTCTTTATCTGCGTGCTGCACCCACGGCCCGTCGAACTTGGTGTTTTCGAGGTCGTGCCGCATGTCGAATGCCACGATGTTGATTATTTTCCCGTGCGAGATCGGGTACGCGATGATATACTTGCGTTTGTAAGTTTTCAATGGAGGAATGAGAGTCAAGCTAAACTCACCCCGTTCTTGCCTAGATACTGCAGAAATTAGAACAGCATCATTGAAGTAGTACTTCGAGCTCACCTGCATTGGCTCCGTCAGGGCCTGATGGTTTGGCGAGACCTCTCGCAGGCGTTCCTTGGGTATCAGAGCACGATATGCGATGTGTCCACTCCACCATGGCTCGATACACGAGGCCGCTTCTGCAGCATCATCCTCCCGCCCCTCACGCCGCAAATCGTCGATATGTCTAGCCAGCACGCCTGCTCGTGTTGCCGACTTCAGGCCATCTGCACCAACTCTGCGGCACAAGTAAGTCTTATGCTCGATTGGCTCGGGAAGGAGAAGCTGGAGAACGCACAGAATGTCGCAAGAAGCAGCGGTTCCGTCTGAGAAGACGAGCTGCACGGGGCCGGGCTGACGGTCGTCGAAGCTGTGCAGCCGCTTCGAGTAATGGATTTGAACGCGGTCGGGGAGATGGCCGAGGAGCGCGGCCTGGAAGTCGGCGCGGTATAAAGTTATCATCGAGCCTGTGGGCAGGATCAGCCACAGGATGGCGTCTAGCAGGTACACGTGCCGGTGGTGACGAGTGTCGCGAACTGGAGCCCAACCGCCTGGTTGCTCTTTCGGTAGTGGAAGGAGGGTGCTACACGGTGAATATCAGCCAACACGCGGGTCATTATCCAAGCTGGCACCGTGACTGACATGGACCATCCTGAAGCTCGACATCGCATGTCTTGATCAGCTCCTCGTCGACCCCAAGGCGACGGAGGATGCTCCATGGACGCGGGAAGACGGCCACGCCCGCGCCGACTTCTGCCAGGGAGTGTGCAGCTTCGAAGATGTGGACCTCTATTTCGGGGTACTCGGAGAGGGCCAGAGCCAAAGTAAGACCAGCAATGCCTCCACCGCTGGAGATGTATCATCATAAGATGGGATATGGAGAGAATGGACGACGGAGACGCACGAGATGGCGACGCTGAGGCGCTTGGTTTGACTGGTCATATCGTAGAGTGAAAGAGCTGGAAGTGAATGTCCTGGTCCTTCGGGCAAGCTCGCCTTCTTATATGCCTAAGCTGAGCATATTAATAGCGACGACGGCCTCAGACGGAGGAGCACATACCAAAGGGTAGACATGAAAGAATGGCAGCCAATTCTGCGATTCCGTCGCGCTTCCGAGTTGCCGCTCGTCACTCGAGGTGGGTCAAGCACAGCTTACGACGGCTGCGCCGCTGAGCCTGCGTATGCCAAAGGTAATCTTGAGTCGCCGGTTTGCATTGAGGAGTTGGACCGTGTGTGGAGAGAAGAAGCTGCAGTGACCTCGTCATTCAAGTTGGGATGAGAAGCAACGATTTGACGGGGAGCGTCTTTGTAAGGACACTTACATGTCGGTCCCGGGTCCACCAATTTTGGACCACGACCTGAGGTGAGGTAGTCATGGGCGGTCGTTAATGCGTAATGCCCTCAGCGGCGACTGTTTCGCATACTTTGGCCTCGGTACCGCGCCCTTTGCTGGCGTTGGAATCGTCGCACCATGTGGTCGGGGTTAAGGAGCAAAAACCACGTCATCCTGTCAACGTCATCGCACGTCCAATGACAAATCAGACGAGTGTCCGTGCGTTTCGGCACCATCTTACAAACAGCCACGGTCCGCGCGTACATACGGGACCATCGGCACGAGCGCCATATCGTTGTCGCGCTGCTGCTGACTGAACCCTTTCCGTCTCTTTTCCATCGGTGCTTTCATTCATGTCCGCGCACATGCGAGTAAGAAGTAAGTACATTGGCCTTCATAAGTAGATCTTTCCCTCAGTTACGGCGCTTATTGAGGGAACAGTCCGTTCACAAGCCCCGGAATCGACTGGCAGCTGACGCTCACGATCTTGAGCTTGAGGTCGTTGATGTCCGCGTCGTTGGAGAAGTGCTCCACCGCAGACTCGCCCTTGTCGAAGTCGAGTTTGCAGTCCCGTCCCCTGTAAATCCAATTCAGCGCGAGTTCAAGTTTTGCAGAAGAGCGGAGGATGCGCACGGGAAGGAGACGCAGTCGTTGTTGAGGTTGAGCCGCAGGGACTTCGCTTCGAAGATCAGGTTGGTGCAGGTCCCTGGGCCGTCGCCCTTCGTGGTGCCTAACGCGATGCAGTTGCCCTGGAGATTGGGGCGGGCACATGCGAGCGGGACGAAGTCGGCCGCGGCTGCGCGTGCCTAGTGGAGCGCTCAGCATCGCAAAGCGCGCAATTCGGGACGTGGCACTCACCTCGAAGCCCACAACACTGTTTGGGGCGGCCACCGGCGCGCTGAACACGGCGGTGAGCGAAAGGGAGCTCGCGGCAATGAGGGCGAATGCGATCGACGCGCGGAAGAACATGGTGATATCAAATCACAAGAGAAAGGTCGACGAACAAGAGAAAGAACAACGGGAGGGGAGAAGAAGAATGCGGCGCCCTCGGTGGCGAGCCGTTTTATAGGCGACGGCGAACAGCGCCAAGCCCACGTCAGCACTGTGCAGTTGGTGACGACGCCGGGATCGGCGACTTGATAACAGCGGGGTTTGACAGTGTTTGACGTAATCTTGGGGTGGATCACTGAAAAGGAGATGTGGCAGTTCGTTGCTCGTCGACTCTATCCCTCGTCGTCAACCTGGCTGCCGATTCTCAACGGCCAAGGAGCGCCGACGTGTTCCAGGGTCATACCGCACCAAGCTTCGCCGACTGCTCTTCGATATGCAAGTCCTTCCCACCTTCAAACAATCAATTAACGCCAACCTGCACCATCGATCCTACAAATTAGTGTTCGACATCTACACGGTCCCTACGGAAGCAACAACAACAACGAGTCCATAGTCCAATCATCATAAGTGTCAATGGTCATTATCAGTCCGCACCAGCAACAAAGCATCCCGACAGCAACGCGAAGCAAAACGATCAAATGGCGGTCTCGGGGACGGTCCCTGCGATTGTCCCGTACCGTGCCGTGCCCCGTACACTGCCACTAGCAGCAGACAGCGCCAGTGTCGGGGTCGAGGCCGAGGCCGAGGCGGCTGCGGACATCTCCCGCATGGGCACATCGGCCAGGTCAACCGTCGATGCTGCGCGCGAGTGGGGCCGCGACGCGTACGCGGGAACCTGTGCAAGCGCACGTGCCGCCGCGTCGACACCATATTCGTCCGCAAGCTGACTACGAGAAGATCAACAACAGAAAAACTGGCAATGATAGCACACGCACGCGGCATACGCGTCCATGATGACGCCCATCGCCGTGTCGTCCAGCCGATACGCCTTCGGCATCATGCCCTTGCCAAACCGGTACGTGACGTGGTTGCTGCACAGCAGCCCCGCCACGATCGTCAGCACGGTGAACCCTGCGCTCGTGAAGACGGCGATGTACCAGCTCCGCAGCGCGTGCCGCTCGAACCGGAAGTACGGCGCCTTGCACCCGGGGAGGAGCGACCGCGCATAGCACGTGCTGCTGATGCTCGCCTCGACAAACGGCGAGAAGTAGCCGCAGCAGTGCAGCGCGTTTTGCACGCGCCGCCGCGCCGTGATGTCGAACGACTCGGACCACTGGAAGTTGAGCTTGCCTTCGAGGTTCAAGGCAGAGAACTTGTAGGTGAGGTAGCCCGGAACAAGGAGGAGCGCGAAGGAGAGCCAGAGGAGGACGTTGTAGATGGCGAGGAAGGCTGAGGACGAAGTTAGCTGAGAAGCAAGCGATGGAGTGGGACACACAGCGGTTGTTCAGCATAACGCCAGCCCAGCCAAAGACAGACGTGAGCAATGCGACCGCCGCCGCCAGAGTGGAGAACACGAGCGGAGTATGGTTAGCGACCCGTAACACATCCGCGCGATCGAAGATGTCCAGCCACACCAGTATGCACACTAACAGCGCGCCCATGGCAAGTAATGTGTACTACGAATATCAGCATCGCCCGAGATTCGGCTGTTGGACGAACCACCGCATTAAACACAAACAACACCCATTTGAACCGCGTCCAGCGACTCTCGGGGTCCGATCTGTCCAGCCAGCCACGCCGACCTTCTGGCGGGCGAAGATCATCCCGGTCATCCGCGACACGCGCCTCTCCCCGACGAAAGGCATCCACCCCGCCGCCTCGCGCCATCACCGGTTCCTTGATCCGCCCTTCCCGATTCGGTCCACGCCGCCGTCGGCGGGCGCCACTTATAAGCACGTCGGAAAATTTGTTGGGGACGTAGTTTATGGAGAGCGACATGCGGTCGCCAGCATCGAGAGCGGATGGGGCGCGGGAATGTCGACCGGTCACGGCTTCGGCGAAGGAGAGGGATGACGGAGTGCGGGCCCGTGCATGGTGGGAGTCACTGAATGGGCGGATGGGCGCTTCTAGCGCATCGAAATCTTCTGGTGCGACCCAGCTGAGCGGGCCCGGGGTGGTTATTGGCGTAGCGACGGGGTTAGTCAGCGTCGTGTCGGTGGAAAAGCGGGTGGGAGTCGGGCGGTATGCGGCGGTGAGCGGAGGGGAAGAGGGAGGCGATGGGGAGGATAAGGAGGAGGATGAAGCCGGGTTAGCTATCTGTGTATACTGAGATGAGCTTGGAGAGGCGAAGAGAAAAGATAGATGACGCACCAAAGGCATGGTACTCGTGCTTCCGGACAAATCCCGACTGTACTGTTGAGTGTGGTGCATATGATAGCTTGAGGGTGGGGGTGGGGTGCCCGTGCCTGACATATCTCTCCTCTTGCAAGCTCCTTGGTCTGTTTATCGCTGGTTTGGATGCGTTGTCGGCGGTTGACCTGTTTTCTCGAGAGGACACTTAGCTGGAAAGGAAGGCGGAGGAGAGGACAGCGGTGGTAAGACGAGAGTGGGAAGTCGCACAGGACGGGGAGAAATCGCGCTTAGCGGGCTGGCCAAGCCGTGGGTGTGGGCAGAACGTGGCGGCTGACAGAAGACGCCTACGCGTCGATTTGCGTAAGCCGATCACACGTCCGGCATCGACGCGGAAGTCGCAGATTCGGTTCTGGCCCCCTCCGCTCTGCCTCCAATAGGCAGCAAGTCTGCGTTTGCAGACGAGGGCTTGCTTCTTGTCCAAGCCTCGATCAGACCGCACCCATGTCTCTATGGCCAATGGACAACACCCCGCGGCCGTGGCCAAAAATAGGTGGTGGTGGTATGTAAAAAGCAGCGAGTCTCACGGCCAAAATAGTCCGTGATGCGGGTCGTGATCACTGATCATGATTCATATGCTGATCATTGTCATGTGCTGCCGTATCAAAACGGAATTTTAGTAAGTATCTCCGACGGCGGCTCACACACCAGGTTCCACAATTTTTCCCCTTGAAAAGTTAGGTAAAAAATTTGAATCAATTTTTTCTAAGTCAAAATTTGAACTTTTTTTGGCAACTTGTGCCTGAAAAATGTCAGAAAAAAAACTGCAAGTTTTTTTTCCAATTTTGACTTGGAAAAAATTTATTCTGTAGGATTGTGACCAGGCTGGTAAGGTGGAACGGGCTGGAGTTTCTTATCACCCAGGTAGACCTATGTAGACCACACCTACAAATATATGACACCATCACTTTATAGCAACTTGCTGGCTTCACAATCCATGAGAACATTTGCAGAGTACTGTTGTTTTGGCAGTAGCACACACACAAAAGGCTCAGAAAAAAAAATATATATATATTCATCACTTGTGTTTATTTACTGGGAATATGGGCATCCCTCACACTGGTGGCAATGCCAATGGCGGTTGGCAATGGGGGGTCCAACGGCAGCTTGAAGGGAAATTTTATTCCTTTGTTGCAGACAAAGAAACCTTTGTTTGCACTAAGGCCGCTGTTGGACCCCCCATTAACAGGCCGCCATTGGGTTTGCACCCGGTGTCAGTTATAGCCAATCTTGATGCCACGCCAGTCCACGCTGATGTAAGGGCAACGCTGGAGACTCCGACGAAAGCCGAGCAGGGGAGGATCCAAAGCGTGAATAAAAGCCACGGAAATACACGGAGGGACCGACCTAGCAGGGGAGGATCCAAAGAGAAGAAACTCTAAGGGTCCGCCTGCTAGGGCGCCAACTATATACTGGTCGTCCGTAACTGCTGACGTAGAGCGCAGAAGGCCTGAGCGGCATCGCAGGCTCTGTCCCAAGGTGGTGATCGTTGGGAGGGTCTTGACGGATCGGTGATTGTGCGGGCGAAGGAGGCTGTAGACAATGGTCAGGGTGGGTCAGAGCATCCGAGGGGGCACTGGTCGGATGTGCCTCCGATGCGCTCGGACGGTCCGAAGGAGGCCGAAGCAGGGGTTCCCCTGACATCACCCCCCCTTTGAATGTGGCGTCCCGACGCATAGTCCGAAAGGGCAGTGAGTCGAAGGTTGCTGAGGTGATATTCTGTGGTTTACCTGGGTATCTCCGATAGAAGTCCGCAATCTTGTCTGGCGCGAAGACATGGTCGAACCAAACCCACGAGTCGTGTGAAGCATTGTAGCCTTTCCACCTGATGAAGTAGTTAAGACGCTTATACCTTATCCTGGCATCCAAAATTTCCTTGACTTCCCATTCGGGAACTCCGTGCTCTAGTTCGGGGGGCCGTCCGTCGTAACCGGGTCGTCCATCGAAAGGGCCGTCCTTAGCAGGTTCGAGCTTAACAACAGGAAAGACCGGGTGGAGCTTGGAGTAGCACAGGGGGAGGTCTAGCTTGTAGGCGCCCTTGCTGACCTCTGCGAGCACCTTGAACGGTCCAAGGCGCTTATGGGAGAACTTCCCGGATGGCCGAGTCATCCTAATGTCGGAGGCATCCAGCCAAACCTTGTCACCAACTTGGATCTTCGGAGCATCCAAACTCGTAGTACCGTTTATACTCGTCCTTGGCTTTAACGAGCGCGGCCTTTGCTTCGGAGACGCCGTTGTCTATCCGATCGCGAAACTTGTTCACTGACTCCAACTCTGAGCGGGCACCTGGTTCGAAACCCATTTGGCGGAGCTGACCAGTGTCCTTCATGAAAGGTACCTGTTGAGTGGAGGAGTGAACGTGGTTGTTATAGGCGAACTCAGCGGCAGGGATAAGCTCGTCCCAGTCGTCTTGTTGATAGTTAGTGAAGATCCGGATGTACTGCTCAAGCTCCTGGTTAACGCGTTTGGTCTGTCCGTCGGGTCTGCGGGTGGTAAGCTGTGGATGTGGCAGGCTTGATACCGATTAAGCACCAGAGTTCGCGCGTGAAGTCAGCAATGAACTGTGAACCGCGATCCGAGATGTACTTCTCGGGGGTTCCGTGGTGCCTCCAGACATTCCGATAGTACAACCGGGCGGCTCCGACTGCGTCTACCGTCATATGGCACTCAGTGAAGTGAGCGCGTTTGCCAAGAGCGTTGACGACTACCATGACCGCGTCGTACCCATGAGCCTTGGGGAGCTCAATGATGAAGTCCACCGTGACGGTGTGCCAGCGTTCGGGGGGACTTCGCTCAGGTGTAGCTCTCCGTGCGGGAGCCTTCGGAGGGCCTTCGTGCGGCAGCACAAGTCGCAGGTCACAACATAGCGTCTGATATGGCGGGACATCTGTGGCCACCAGTAGTTGCGCGAAACCAGCTCTAGGGTCTTGAACCGCCCGGCATGTCCGGGGACTCGCGTATCGTGGCAGAGCTCGATGATGCGCCTCCTTAGGTCCTTGTCTTTGGGGACTACGACCTTACCGCGGAAGTACAAGAGGTCTCCCGAGACGGCCCACTCGTCCGAACGTGATGAGCGGGGGGGCCCCGAACTTGACCTCGGACCTTCAAGAGGTGCTGGGCCGCAAGCGCGACGGGCTCCTCTAGGTCAGGCTCACCGGATAGCGCTTCTTTGATATTGCGGACAAGTTCAGACCCAGGCCCGGAGACAGTGATGGCCTCGAGCGCGCGAACGTGGAAAAGCTCAGGGCGCAAGAGGGTGATGTCCGAGTTGTCTTCTGAGATGCCGTGGTCAGGCCGACGGGAGAGGGCATCAGGGCGGCCCATCTGGCGACCGGGGACGTGGTGTAGCGTGAAGTCGAACCGAGAGAGGTACAACGACCATCGGGCTTGCCGGCGGTTGAGGTGCTGCGCCTTTTGGAAGTACTCCAAGTTCTTATGGTCAGTCCAAATCTCAACTGGGTGCGCGGCGCCCTCAAGGAAATGCCAATACTCCTTGAGGGCGTGGATTATCGCGAGCATCCCCTTGTCGTGAATCTCGTAGTTGCGCTGGACATCATTTAAGCTCTTGGAATAGAACGCTACAGGGTGCCACTTCCCGTCCAGGGCGGATTGTTGTGAAAGAACTGCCCCCGTTGCATAATCCGAGCTGTCTGCTTCAAGTCGGAAAGGCCAAGAGTTGTCCGGGATCACTAGGACGGGTTCTGAGACAACCACGTCCTTGATGGCTTGAAAGGCGGCGGCTTCGGCGTCCCCCCAGGTCCACTTCTGGTCTTTCTTGGTGAGCGGAAAGAGAGGCTGCGCAAGAGCTGAGAAATCCCGAATGAACCTGCGGTAGAAGTTAGCAAACCCCAGGAACTGCTGGACGTCCTTTTTATTTTCGGGCGGAGGCCAAGCGGAGACTCCGGCGACTTTAACTGGGTCCATTTCGACGTCGTTGTGAGAGATAATGACCCCCAGGTACTCAATTGACGATTTCTTGAAGTCGCACTTCTCCTTGCGAAGGTACAACTTGTGCATTCAGAGTCGCCGAAGGACCTCCCTGACGATCTCGCGGTGCTTATGGAGGTCCGAATGCGCGATAAGGATGTTGTCAAGGTAGATCATAACGTCTCCTAAGAGGATGAGGTCCTGGAAAATGTCATTCATCATCGTTTGGAAAGTCGCGGGGGAGTTCGTCAGGCCGAAATACATCACTAAAGGTTCAAACAACCCTCAGTCAGTCCGAAAGGCCGCCTTCCACTCTTCTCCTTCTTTAATCCGGACGTTATTGAAGCCCCAACGAACATCGACATTGTTGCTCACAAATAGGTAGAAGTGTGGTGGACTATGCTATAGTATCATATCAACTCAGATCATGACATTCCATGCATTGGGTCTTAAGATATCAGCAAAACACTCCTTAACTTAGTATTTATACAAATGAGCCCTTTCTCGGATGTATCTCCTAAGGCTAACTAGAGATTCATGCTTCTCTTTCGGGGTTGATGAAGATCAAATATCACAGATGAGTGAATGTCTGGCCTCCTAGTGCCATATAAACTTGAGGTTGGAGTCTACACACTAAGGCTTCTCACAGGTGTCACGGATAAATACCTGTACTCTACCTGCAGGTCATTTAGGATTCAAACCAATACCTGCATTTGCAGCATCTATGGGAAACAGGTACCTGTACTCACGGATACAGGTACCTGCACAGGATCTAGCATATAGTATCAAGTAATATACTGATATAGATATCACAGAGTATGAGAAGACTGTAGTAACTGAAATATATCTAAGATAATGAAGATTGGGATCTTCCAAAGTTATACCTGTACTCTTGGCATCCATGAGACACGGATACCTGTATCCGCGGGTGTCAAACCTGTAGATGTTTTCCTGCAGGTATCTGTGGAAACATCCGCGGGTATTGACACTTGTGCGGAGCTTTACTACACACTAGGGCTTTAGTTTCGAGTATCTAAACTTACAAGTCAGCCACCCCACATGATTTGACTATTTGATATTCTCCATTCTATGACTAAATGGTCAATATGATGATAATACTATGCGATGATAATCAA